TCTATATTGCTATGTAATACTCCATTTCATTAATACATTAAGATATTTTGTTTATTAAGCTCTTAATAGACTTGAGTTGCTTCCATTTTCTTGCAAACCAGAAGGGAGTGGCATGATAAATTCAAAGTGCTGAATGGGAAAAAATATGCAGCCAATTACCTTATCTAGCAAGGCTATTATTCAGAATAGAAGAAGAGATAGTTTCCCAAATAGAAACTAAAGGAGTTTGTGGCCACTAAACTAGCCCTGTAAGAAATATTAAATGGAACACTTTGAATACAAAGGAGAGATATGGCTTTTATGATGTTAAGGTATGTTCCTTATATCCCTACTTTCTTGAGGGTTTTTATCAGGGAAGATGCCATATTTTGTCTAATGCCTTTTAGGCATCTATTGAAAGGATCATATGGTTCTTATCATTTATTTTATTAATATGGTGTATCAAATTGATTGATTTTCAAATATTGAACCAGTCTTGCAGCCCATGAATAAATCCCACTTGATCATGGTGAATAATTCTTTTAATTGACAATTGAATTTGATTTGCTAGTATCTTGTTGGGAATTTTTGCTTCCATGTTCATCACGACTATTGGCCTGTAATTCTCCTTTTTAGTGGGGTCTTTGTCTGGGTTTGGAATCAAGGCAATGCCGGCTTTGTAGAATGAGTTTGGAAGCTTGCCTTCCATTTCTATTTTTTTGGCACAGTTGGAGGAAAATAGGTATTAACTCTTCTTCAAATGTCTGGTAGAATTCCCCTGGGAAGCCATCTGGCCCATGACTCTTGTTTGTTCAAAGATTTTTGATGACTGATTCAATTTCTTCGCTGGTTATGGGACTGTTCAAATTTTCTATTTCTTCCCATTTGAGTTTTAGTAGTGTGTGAATACCTAGGAATTTGTCCATTTCTTCCAGATTGTCCAGTTGCTGGCATATAATTTTTCCTAGTATTCTCTTATCATTGTATTTCTGTGGTGTTGGTTGTGATCTCTCCTCCTTCATTCATGATTTTATCTATTTGGGTCCTCTCTCTCTCTCTCTCTTTCTTTTTTTTTTTTTTTTTTTTAGGGGTTTAGCGTAGGGGTTTTTTAAATTTTTTTTATGTTTTAAAAAAATAAGTTTTATTTTAATGGATATGTTCTACTGGTTTTTGTGGGTTTTTTTTTTTTATTCTGTATCATTAATTTATGCTCTAATTTTTATTATGTTCATTCTTCTGCTGGCCTTCGGCTTTATTTGCTGCTCCTTTTCTACCTCTTTTAGGTGGAAAGTTAGATTTTGTATTTGGTATCTTTCCTGCTTCTCAAGATAGGACTGAATTACAATGTGTTTTTCTCTTAGGACTGCTTTTGCTGCATCCCAAAGGGTTTGGACTATTGTATTTTCATTTTCGTTTGCTTCCATGTGATTTTTAGTTTCTTCTTTAATTTCCTTGTTAACCCATTCATTTTTAGTAGGATTTTTTTAACCTCCATGTGTTTGAGGGCTTTCCAAATTTTTTCTTGTGGACTATTTCAAATTTAATAACGTTGTGATCTGAATATATGCATGGTATGATCTCAATCTTTTTGTACCATTAAGGGTTGATTTGTGACCCATTATTTGATTTATTCTGGAAAATGCTCCATGTGCACTCTAAAAGAATGCATTTGGCTCTCCATCCCTTCATTTTCAATATGAAAGTGTCTTTAGGTCTAAAATCAGTCTCTTATAGGCAACATATAGATGAACTTTGCTCTTTTATCCATTCTGATAACCTGTGTATTTTGATTGGGGCATGTGATCCATTTATATTCAGACTGATTGCTGAAAGATATGAATTTAGTGTCATTGTTTTATCTGTAGATTTCATGTTTCTGGTGATGTTCTCTGGCCCTTTGTAGTCTTTGCTGGTTTGGTCTTTTTTTTTTTTTCTCCACTCAGAAAGTCCCCTTAGAATTTCTTGCAGGGCTGGTTTACTGGTCACAAACTCCTTTAGTTTTTGTTTTTCTGGGAAGTCTTTATCTCTCTTTCTATTCTGAATGACAGTCTTGCTAGATAAAGGATTCTTGGTCGCATATTTTTGCTATTCAACATATTGAATATTTCTTGCCACTCATTTCTGGCCTGCCAAGTTCCAGTAGACAGGTCTGCTACTAACCTTGTGTGTCTACCCTTGTAGATTAATGACCTTTTGTCCCTTGCTGCTTTCAGAATTCTCTCTTTATATTTGCATTTTACAAGTTTCACTATGATATGTCTTGGTGTTGACCTGATTTTGATGATTTTAAAGTGAGTTGTTTGTACCCCTTGGACTTGGATGCCTGTGTCTTTCTCCAGATTAGGGGAGTTCTCAGCTATAATTTGTTCAAATAAACCTCCTGCCTCTTTTTCTTGTTCTTCTTCTTCTGGGGCTCTTATGATACAGATATTATTTCATTTCATAGTAGAATCACTTAGTTCTCAATATCCCCTCATGCTCTAGTAATTTCCTTAGCCACATTTTTTTTCAGCTTCATTGTTTTCCATAATTTTATCTTCCCTTTCGCTTATTCTCCCCTCTGCTTTTTCAATCCTCACTGTCACTGTATCTAGTTTAATTTACATCTCAGTTATGGCATTTTTAAATTCAACCTGACCGGTTCATAGGTCTTTGATCTCTTCAGCAAGGGTTTCTCTGGTGTCTTCTATGCTTTTTTCAAGCCTAGCTAGTAGTTTTATGACTGTTGTTCTAAATTCGTATTCAGATATATTGATTATATCTGTTTTGAGCAATTCTATGGCTGTGATTTTTTCTTGACCTATCTTTTGGGGAGAATTCCTCCATCTTGTCATTTTGGCTAAGTTTCTGTATCTTGAGCGTTTTAAAAAGCTTTTTATGTATTCTGCACCTGAGAGTACTACTATATTAAAAAGAGGTAATACACTGTCCAGAGCTTGGTATTCCAGGAAACATTTCTGGTGTATGTTGCATGCACTCTGCTGTTGTGTTTTAGCTTCTCTTTCCCACAGGTCAGTCCTCTTCAGAGCTCCTCCTTGCTTGCAATGGTGGAGTCTTTGGACCTTTAACTAGATGTACTTTGATTTATTTGTTGAAGTAACCCTGGGGAAAAAAGGGGGATTGTAGCCTAATCACATAAAAAGAGAAAAAGGAAAGGGGACAAAAGAAAACCAAAGAGTCAAGAAACTATAAGGCTGATTCCAAGGAAAGACAAAAGAAAAAAACTGAAAAAAAAGCAGAAGGAAAAAGAAAAGAATAGAAAAACCTGATGAAAACAAGATAAAAAGAAATGACCAAAAACAAATTAGAAACTATGAGCCTGATTCCAAAAAAAAAAAAAAAAAAGGAAAAAAAAAAAAAAAAAAAAAAGAGTTATCTGTTGGTATCTGGGTGATGGTGGCTGTGCTGGTCTGAAGGAGAGGCCAGCTACATTGGCTCAGTCCATCTTGCCCCAGTAAATAAGCAATTGCCAGGCACAGAGGGGCAGTGGTTGGCCTATGTGGGCCCGCTTCCACCGGGGGCATCTGTGTTGCTCTCTGAAGTCCCACCATGTTGGTATTGAGGGAAAATGGTGTCACCCCAATCTCTCATCCCTAGACTGGTTATCTCAACCCCTGACATTCAGGCATCCCTCACAGAATACTGAGGGCAGTCAGTTTGCCCTGTGCCACAAGTATCCTCTACCTTCTCCTTGACCCACAGCTGGGATTCAAAACCTGAAGTCTTAAAGGACTGCACACAACACGACACTACTGCCCTCCTCCAGTGTAGAGCCTCTCTACCCTGCTGATGAAAAGCCTTTGCTGGTACCTGCAGGGTCTTTTGTCCTTGGGGAGGCAATAAACCCTCTTGCAAAAGTACTCCATGAAGGGCACTGTTCCTTCCCAGTGCTCCCTGGAGATTGCTACACCATGCTCTGCACTCTGGGGCCAGCTCCCTCCTCCACAGGAGGGTACGCCATGTCTCTGCTCTGGAAAAAGTCACACACTTCCAAAACCTCCAAGTTTGGGCTCCAGAAGCTGTTTGCAAACAACCGGAACCCTCAGTACTTCTGTTCCCCAGCCCATGGTCCAGAAATGTGTTTCTTTTGTGCTAACTCGATGCCATACTATCTCAATCCTTCTCCCTTTCTCTCATTTTTATCTCTCCACAAAATGGGTTCCATTCCTTCAGTGGCCCCATAGTTTTCTCTTCCCCAACTCACATCCACGCATCTCACACCTGCCAAGCTGTCTCTCTCCAACCATGGAGATCTGTCTGCCACTCTGCAGATCAATTTCCTGAGTGTTCTAAGAAATCTGACCCCAATACAATTGTGTGAGTGATGTAGGAAGCCCGGTCACCTACTTCTCCACCATCATAAATTCCTTCGCTAAACATGAATATTTCTGTAAAAAAAGCAGTCAAGGAACTAAAAGTATATATATAAATATAATAACATATACCTCAAACATGGGAGAAGGGAGAAAAGAATAGGTTAAAACCTAAATAGTCATCAACTTAAAGTAGACTGCTACATGCAGAAGAGGTTATACACAAACTTAATGGTGACCATATATCAAAGTCCACTAATAAATATGCAAAGAATAAAGAGGAAGAAATCCAAATACATCACTAAGGAAACCAGTGAAGGAAAAGAAGGACAATAAAGCATCAGAGAAAATCTTCAGGAAAAGTCACAAAACAAGTAATAAAATGGCAATAAATACATATCTATCAATAATTACTTTGAATATAAATGGACTAAATGCTCCAATCAAAAGACATAGGGAGACAGAATGGACAAAAACACAAGACCCATCTCTATGCTTCCTACAAAAGACTCATTTTAAACATAAAGACACCTAAAGATTGAAAGTGAGGGGATGGAGAAACATCTATCCTGCAGATGGATGTCCAAAGAAAGCTGGAGTGGAAATACTTATATGGGAAATATAGACTGGTAAAAAAAGGCTCTAACAAGAGACAAAGAAGAACGCTATATAATAATAAAGGGAACAATCCATCAGGAAGATACAACATTTTTTTTTTATTTAAATTCAAGTTAGTTAACATACAGTGTAGTCTTGGCTTCAGGAGTAGAACCCAGTTACTAATCACTTACATATGACTCCTAGGGCTTATCCTGAAAAGTGCCTTCCTTAACAGGATAGGTGTTCTTCAAAAAAATGTAAAAAAAAAAAAAAAAGCAAATAGAACAATTGTAAATATTTTTTCACCCAACATGAAGCACCTAGATACATAAAACTGTTAATAAGAAAAAGAAAGAAACTATAATAATACAATAATAGTAACACCCTGCTTATATCAATGGAAAGATCATCTAAACAGAAAATCAACAAGGAAATAATGGGTTTGAATAACACATTCGAACAGATGGATTTAACAGATATATTCAGAACATTCCATCCTAAAACAACAGAATACACATTCTTTTGAAGTGCATATGGAGCATTCTCCAGAAGAGATCACATATTAACCCATAAAAAAAAAAACTCAACAAATTCAAGAAGATCAAAATCATACCATACATATTTTCTGACCACAACACTATGAAACTAGAAGTCAACTGCAAAAAAAAATCTGGAAAGACCACAAGTACCTGGAGGTTAAATAACATGATACTAAACAATGAACAGCCAACAAGGAAATAAAAGAAGAAATAAAAAAATTATGTAGAAACAAATGAAAATGAAAACACCATGCTCCAAAACCTCAAGGATGAAGCAAAAGCAGTTCTAAGAGGGAAGCATATCACAATACAGGCCGACCTCCAGAAGCATGAAAAATCTCAAATAAACAACCTAATCTTACACTTAAAGGAGCTAGAAAAAGAACAGCAAACAAACCTAAAACCAGGAGAAGGAAGAAAATAATAGACTAGAGCAGAAATAACTGATATATAAACTACAAAAAAAGCAATAAAACAGATTAATGAAATCAGAAGATGGTTCTTTGAAAAACATCAATAAAATTGATAAACTTGTAGCCATACTTATCAAGAAAAAAAGAGAAAGGACTCATGTAAATAAAATCACAAATGAGAGAGGCAAAATTATAACCAAAGCCACAGAAATACAAACAATTGTAAGAGAATACTATGAAAAGCTGTATGCCAACAAATTGGACAAACTACAAGGAATGGATAAATTCCTAGAGGCCTATAAAGTACCAAAACTGAAACAGGAAGAAATAGAAAATTTGAACAGACTGATAACCAGCAAAAGATTAAATCAGTAATCAAAAATTTTCCAACAAATAAAATGCAGGACCAGATGGCATCACAAAGGAATTCTACCAAACATTTAAAGAAGAGTTAGTACCTATTCTTCTCAAACTATTCCAAAAAAGAGAAAATGATGAAAAACTTCCAAGTTCATTCTATGAGGCCAGCATTACACTCATATGAACACAAGGTAAAGACACCCACTAAAAAAGAGAACTAAAGGCCAATATTCCTGATGAACATAGATGCAAAACTTCTAAACAAAATACTAGCAAACCAAATTCAACAATGCATTTAAAAAAATCATTCACTATGATGAAGTGGGATTTATTTCTATATTGCAAGAGTAGCTCAATATTCACAAATCAATCAATGTGATACATAACATCAATAATAGAAAGGATAAGAACCACATTATCATTGCCACAGACACAGAAAAGGCATTTGGCAAAGCATAACATCCATTCTTTATAAGAACCCTCAAAAAAGTAGGTTTAGAGGGAACATACCTCAACATAATAAAGGCCATATATGAAAAACTCACAGGTAACATCATCCTCAAGGGGAAAAAAACTGAGGGGTTTTCCCCTAGGTTCAAGAACAAGACAAGGATGCTCACTCTCACCACTTTTATTGAATATAGTGTTGGAAGTCGTAGCAACAACAATCAGTCAACAAAGAGAAATAAAAGGCATCCCAACCAGTAAGGAAGAAGGAAAACTTTCACTATTTGCAGATGACATGATACTGTATATAAAAAACCTGAAAGACTGCTAAAAAAAAAAAAAACGCTACAACCAATAAAAGAATTCAGTAAAGTTGCAGGATACAAAACCAATGTACAGAAAGCTGTTTCACTTCTATCACCGTTTCTATCAGCAGAAAGAGTAATTAAAACAATCCAATTTCCAATTTCACTAAAACCAATAAGATTCCTAGGAATAAAGCAAATTAAAGAGGTGAAAGACCTTTAATCTAAAAACTATAAAACACTTATGAAAGTAATTGAAGATGCAAAGAAGTGGAAAGACTTCCATACTTACGGATTGGAGGAACAAATATTTTTTAAATGTTTATACTACCCATTTACATTACATTTAATGTAATCCCTATCAAAATACCAACATCATTTTTCACAAGAGCAAACAATCCTAAAATTTGTAGGGAAACACAAAAGGCCTCAAGTAGTCAAAGCAAGTTTGAAAAAAAGAAGTAGAGCTGGAGGCATCACAATTCCAGACTTAGGGTTATATTACACAGTTGTAGTGATCAAAGCAGTATGGTACTGGCAAAAATAGATGCATATATTAATGAGACAGACTATAAAAGCCAGAAATAAACCCAAAACTATATGGTCAATTAATCATCAACAAAGCAGGAAAGAATATCCAATGGGGAAAAGACAGTCTCTTCAATAAATGGTGTTTAGAAAATGACAGCAACATGCAAAAGAATGAAACTGGACCACTGTCTTACACCACACACAAAAATAAGCTCAGAATGGATTAAAGACTTATGTGTCAGACATGAAGTCATAAAAATCCTAGAAGAGAGCACAGGTAATAACTTGTTTAACATTGGCCATAGCTGCATTGTTCTAGAGATGTATCCTGAGGCAAGGAAAACAAAAACAAAAACTCTTGGGACTACATCAAAATAAAAAGCTTATGCACAGTGAAGGAAACAATCAACAAAACTGAAAGGCAATCTATGGAATGGGAGAAAATATTTGCTAATGACATATCAAATAATGGGTTAGTGTCCAATATATAAAGAACTTATGAAACTCAACACCCAAAATAGCAAATAATCCAAATTGAAAATGGGAAGAAGACATAAAAAGACATTTTCCCAAAGGAGACATACTGATGGCCAATAGACACAAGAAAAATTGTTCAAGATCACTTATTATCAGTGAAATGCAAATGAAAACTACAATAAGCTATCACCTCACACCTGTCAGAATGGCTAAAATCAACAGAGACATCAGGTGTTGGTGAAGATGTGGAGAAAAAGGAACACTCATGCACTGTTGAGGGAAAACAAAATGGAGCAGCCACTGTGGAAAATAGTATAGAGGTTCCTCAAAAAGTTAAAAATAGAACTATCTTATGATCCAGCAATTGCACTACTGGGTATTTACTCAAAGATTACAAGAACACTTATTCAGAGATGCAGCATTATTTACAATAGGCAAGGTATAGAAACAGCCCAGTGTTCACTGACAGATTAATGCATAAAGAAGTGGTGTGTGTGTGTATGTATGTACAAGGACATGGATGGAGCTGCAGAATATAATGCTAAGCAAAATATATCAGTCAGAAAAAGTCAAATCCCATATGATTTCACTCATATGTGGAATTTAACAAACAAATCAAACAGGCAAATGGAAAAATAAGAGAGAGAAAAACCAAGGAACAGACTCTTAACTATACTGAAAAAACTGATGGTTACCAGAGGGGAGGGAGTGGGTAGATAGGTAAAATAGGTGATGGAAATTAAGGAATGCACTTGTCATTATAAGCACAGGGTGATGTATAGAAGTGTTGAATCACTATATTGGACACCTGAAACTAATATAACACTGTATGTAAACCAACTAGAATTTAAATAAAAACTTAAAATTTAAAAAAGTTAAAAAAAAGTGCATAAATAGGTATTAGTATGTCTTATCTACAGCAACAAAAATGCTCTACTTTTTTTTTATTTATATATGAAATTTATTGTCAAATTGGTTTCCATACAACACCCAGTGCTCATCCCAAAAGGTGCCCTCCTCAATACCCATCACCCACCCTCTCCTCCCTCCCACCCCCCCATCAACCCTCAGTTTGCTCTCAGTTCTCAACAGTCTCTTATGCTTTGGCTCTCTCCCACTCTAACCTCTTTTTTTTTTTTTTCCTTCCCCTCCCCCATGGGTTCCTGTCAAGTTTCTCAGGATCCACATAAGAGTGAAACCATATGGTATCTGTCTTTCTCTGTATGGCTTATTTCACTTAGCATCACACTCTCCAGTTCCATCCACGTTGCTACAAAAGGCCATATTTCATTTTTTCTCATTGCCACGTAGTATTCCATGCTCTACTTTTGAAAACAAAAAACAACTTACCTGTCAGGATGAGCAGATGCTATATATCTAATTTTATACAAATATGCCACACTTTTTAAAAGCCGTTTTGATTTTATTATTTAGTAATTATAGCTGCCATATTTTGTGTCCCTATTATATGCCAAACACTGTAATAACTTCATCATATAAGTTAACTCATTTAACCCTCAGAAAAATCTTGAGAGGGTATTATTTGAATTTATAGATGTGTGAGTCATGAGACTCAGGGGTTAGTCTGTGGAAATAGGCAATCCCCATATCAGTGGCTTATTCCTCACTCTTACTAAATGTGCATGGCAAATGCACATCCACCACAAGCTGGTGGATGTTGGGAGTCTGAGCGATTCTTTTTTGTTTGTTTCTTTTTTTTTTTAATTTTTTTTCAACGTTTATTTATTTTTGGGACAGAGAGAGACAGAGCATGAACGGGGGAGGGGCAGAGAGAGAGGGAGACACAGAATCGGAAACAGGCTCCAGGCTCTGAGCCATCAGCCCAGAGCCTGACACGGGGCTCGAACTCATGGACCGTGAGATCCTGACCTGGCTGAAGTCGGACGCTTAACCGACTGCGCCACCTAGGCGCCCCAAGTCTGAGCGATTCTTATTGGAATGCCTTGGACATTCAAACTGATAGAGCAGAAACCATCTAGAAAATTGTCAATCGCTTTGCCTAAGGGGAAGAGGGCACTGGAGTGGAGGGAGTTTCTCAAACCAACAACCATATGTTCTCGCCCACAAATACATGTCTCTCTGAGCCTATTAACCAGAACTAGTCACATGTACTAGTGCCTCTTAAAAAGGGGGTTGAGGAAAAGCGCATCCACCAAGTTCCTGGAACAGGGCAGAAATGTGAACACTTGGCAAACGACACCACCAACTAATGCACGATGGAACTGAAACTCAGATAGATGGAGTACTTGCATAAAATCACACAGGTAGTAGAGGCTAAAGTCTGGGATTGTGATGCCTCCTGCTTTGGTCTTCTTCAAAATTACTTTGGCTATTCGGGGCCTTTTGTGGTTCCATATGAATTTTAGGATTGCTTGTTCTAGTTTCGAGAAGAATGCTGGTGCAATTTTGATTGGGATTGCATTGAATGTGTAGATAGCTTTGGGTGGTATTGACATTTTGACAATATTTATTCTTCCAATCCATGAGCAGGGAATGTCTTTCCATTTCTTTAAATCTTCTTCAATTACCTTCATAAGCTTTCTATAGTTTTCAGCATACAGATCCTTTACATCTTTGGTTAGATTTATTCCTAGGTATTTTATGCTTCTTGGTGCAATTGTGAATGGGATCAGTTTCTTTATTTGTCTTTCTGTTGCTTCATTGTTAGTGTATAAGAATGCAACTGATTTCTGTACATTGATTTTGTATCCTGCAACTTTGCTGAATTCATGTATCAGTTCTAGCAGACTTTTGCTGTCATCATCAAGACAGCATGGTATTGGCACAAAAACAGACACATAGACCGATGGAATAGAATAGAAACCCCAGAACTAGACCCACAAACGTATGGCCAGCTAATCTTTGACAAAGCAGGAAAGAACATCCAATGGAAAAAAGACAGTCTCTTTAACAAATGGTGCTGGGAGAACTGGACAGCAACATGCAGAAGGTTGAAACTAGACCACTTTCTCACACCATTCACAAAAATAAACTCCAAATGGATAAAGGACCTGAATGTGAGACAGGAAACCATCAAAACCTTAGAGGAGAAAGCAGGAAAAGACCTCTCTGACCTCAGCCGTAGCAATCTCTTACTCGACACATCCCCAAAGGCAAGGGAATTAAAAGCAAAAGTGAATTACTGGGACCTTATGAAGATAAAAAGCTTCTGCACAGCAAAGGAAACAACCAACAAAACTAAAAGGCAACCAACGGAATGGGAAAAGATATTTGCAAATGACATATCGGACAAAGGGCTAGTATCCAAAATCTATAAAGAGCTCACCAAACTCCACACCCGAAAAGCAAATAACCCAGTGAAGAAATGGGCAGAAAACATGAATAGACACTTCTCTAAAGAAGACATCCGGATGGCCAACAGGCACATGAAAAGATGTTCAGCGTCGCTCCTTATCAGGGAAATACAAATCAAAACCACACTCAGGTATCACCTCACGCCAGTCAGAGTGGCCAAAATGAACAAATCAGGAGACTATAGATGCTGGAGAGGATGTGGAGAAACGCGAACCCTCTTGCACTGTTGGTGGGAATGCAAATTGGTGCAGCCGCTCTGGAAAGCAGTGTGGAGGTTCCTCAGAAAATTAAAAATAGACCTACCCTATGACCCAGCAATAGCACTGCTAGGAATTTATCCAAGGGACACAGGAGTACTGATGCATAGGGGCACTTGTACCCCAATGTTCATAGCAGCACTCTCAACAATAGCCAAATTATGGAAAGAGCCTAAATGTCCATCAACTGATGAATGGATAAAGAAATTGTGGTTTATATACACTATGGAATACTACGTGGCAATGAGAAAAAATGAAATATGGCCTTTTGTAGCAACGTGGATGGAACTGGAGAGTGTGATGCTAAGTGAAATAAGCCATACAGAGAAAGACAGATCCCATATGGTTTCACTCTTATGTGGATCCTGAGAAACTTAACAGGAACCCATGGGGGAGGGGAAGAAAAAAAAAAAGAGGTTAGAGTGGGAGAGAGCCAAAGCATAAGAGACTGTTGAGAACTGAGAACAAATTGAGGGTTGATGGGGGGTGGGAGGGAGGAGAGGGTGGGTGATGGGTATTGAGGAGGGCACCTTTTGGGATGAGCACTGGGTGTTGTATGGAAACCAATTTGACAAATTTCATATATAAATAAAAATAAATAAATAAAATAAATTCCTCTTTCTCTCTCAAAAATAAACATTTTTTAAAAAGAAAAAAAAATCACACAGGTAATAAGTAACAGGACCAGTATTTCAATATAAATAGGTATGAATTTAAAGTCAGTGGTATTTCGGGGCACCTGGTGGCTCAGTCGGTTAAGCGTCTCACTTCAGCTCAGGTCATGATTTCAGGCTTCCTGAGTTCGAGCCCCGCATTGGACTGTCATCTGACAGCTCAGAGCCTGGAGTCTGCTTTGGATTCGGTGTCTCCCTTTCTCTCTGTCCCTCCCCCGTTCGTGCTCTATCTCTGTCTCTCAAAACTGAATAAAAGTTTAAAAAAATAATAATAAAAATAAAGGTCAGTGGTATTTTTATACTCCTTTCTACATTGTATGCTATTCTCTTAAAGTCTTTACTATATATATATAGCAAATGAACAGACATGACAGCCTTGGCTGAAAACTTCAGCATTGATAAGCCACAGCTCTCTTCCAAAAAAGAAAAATAAATAAAATGAATGTATTGGATATTTCTGTGTCTGTTATATTCAAGGATAAAAATTAAGAATAAAACTTGATGATAGATGGAAAGACTATTAATGATTTAATTAATAAAAATAATGCCATGTTTTTCCATATTGTCAAGGAAAATTAATAAAAATAAAAGCAGAAATTAGTGAAACTGATAACAGATATGAAGAGTTCAACAGAATTCTAGTTGTCAGCACTTTAGAGAGATAGGATAATAAAGAACCCTCTGGCAACACGGATAAAGAAAATTAGAGAAAACCCATGAATAAGTTTCTTTTGTGATGAAGAAGTTGCCATGTTTGCAGTTACAACAAAGATTTAAGAAATAAGAGGATATTATGAAAAAATATTCGAAAATGTAGAAGTTAAGATGGAATGGTTACATTTCTGGAAAAAATGTAACTTTTCCAAATGAGTCAAAAATAAACAGAATATTATTAATATTAAGAGTATTCCAGGGACACCTGGGTGGTTCAGTCGGTTGAGAGTCTGACTCTTGATTTTGGCTCAGGTCATCATTTCGTGGTCATGGGATCAAGCCCTGCATCGTGTTCTGTGCTGAGCGTGGAACCTGCCTGGGATTCTCTCCTCCCTCTCTCTCTGCCCACCCCCCCCCCAACTCTCACATTATATTGCTCTCTCTCTCTCAAAATAAATAAATAAACTTAAAAAAAGTATTACAGAAATGGAATGTGTGAAAAGCCAAAATTACTAGCCAATATCAATTAGTTATATAAATGCAAAATTCTAAATAAAATAATGATACACTAAATCCATCAATGGCTAAAACAGTATAGCATGACAAAGCTGTGCTTACCCTAAATATGCAATGCTGGCTTAACATTGGCAAGTCTATAATGTAATTTGCCACATTCATAAAATAAATAGGAAAAAAGATAATTTTCTCAAAAACACTTCCAGAAAAAAGGTATACAATAAAGTTAAACAACAATATTATTAATAGAAAACAAAAAACAATTAACAAACAACAATAAACCAGCAAACCAGGAATAAAAGGTTATTCTTTAAAATGATAAATGGACATTAAAGAAACTACAGTAAACACCATACTTAATCATAAAATTAAAAATACTCTCTTTAAAAGTAGAAAAGAAAGAGAATGACTCATATAACCATTTTTGTTCAATGTGGTACTGAGCGCCCTAACCAGTGTAGTCGGACAAAATAAATACATAGACACATTATTAAGTGTATACAAGTGAAAAGATACAAAACTGTTAATATGATTGTTTTCATATACAAATCCAAGAGAATCTATATAAGAAGTATATTTAATTATATATATTAGTAAGTTTGCTGT